GGGGTCCTTCAATGTGATTCGCATGTGTTCTAAAAATACAGCTTGAAAAATTAGTTGTCAAAATTCAAATCATGAGAAAAAGAATATTGCATAATATTCATTTATAAAATGAAAGAATAATTATCAATATGTATAATGCTTTAAAAGCTCATTGAGGAACTCATGGATTGATTAACAGAATTATAACAGCATCAATTCAGAGACTTATGTAATAATTTTTTAGCCTTATTCTGCAATTTTCTGGAACAATGTCTATCCTGCTAACAAAAAGGGTTTTTTTTGGGGGGGGGGATTTTTCATGGCAGGAGTTATCAGACTACATGGAACAGAATGGAATGCATTAAAAAAATCTAAAATTGTATTATGTTTATAATAAAGGGGATATTTTTAATGACTTCTAAAGTAGTGTAATATATTTTCAAAATTAATGGCAATATTTTGTAGATTTAATTCATATTATGCTCTTTCACTACTGAAGATAAAATAATGTTGATGAATTTTAATTAATCTCTCATGTCAGATATATGGCAAAAATCTTAAGATACAGCCCCAAATCTATAATTAACATAAAAATTAAATTAAATCATATGAAAACAGGGAAAAAGATAAAAATTAGTGAGATTATTTTGCAGCCTAAACTAACAAAAAAAACATGACCAATTTTTCACATCATAAAAAAAAAAAAAAAAAAAAAAAAAAAAAAAAGAGAGGTGTTATATATTTTTTTTACCGAATATTTTATTAATTAAATTTATATTTTTTTAAAGTTTTTACTATTATCTAATCATTAAAGTTCTTCATAACAGGTTCAAAAATCTTATTTATAATCTTTTAAAGCACATTATTATTGCATTTATTGTGACAGCTTTTAAAAGAAGCATAATACTGTCCTTTTCAGTAAAAAAATATGAATTTCTTTACCAAACTTTTAATAAATTTGAGGGAATTTTTTATTTCTTATTAGAGGAACCACAATAAAGCAGATGAAAACAAATTAGACAAAATTGAAAATTTAAAAAAAATGCAAGAAATTTTTACAAGATGAATTAATAAAGAAAATAGACAAAAACAATTGCCTTATAAAGAATGCAAAATAAAGATCCGCTTTTATATTTTATGACATAAAGAATGGATTATTTTAATAGCATTGCTATACACTTTCAAAAACTAAAAACAGATGGCATTTTAAAATTATCGCAGGATACAGGTAGACCTAGCTTCTGCAAAAATAAAGCAATTTTTATATGAAAAAGGAAAGACAGGGGGGGGGGGGGAACAGAGGGAGCAGAAAAGAAAAAAATAAATGTAGCAACCAGTGTTACATTTAACAATGTAACAAGCATGTAGCAATGTTGCAAATTTTCATGTGCTGCATCTTTTTTTACATTCTACATTCACTGATATTATATATCTTTGATGATTATTGATTTAACAATTTTTAGGTTAAGCTTTTTAATTTGTAATAATAGTTCTATACAAAATATAGAACTGCAATTCAAAAATAAATTAACCTTTCCGAATAAATGCTTCAATATTTTAATTAATCTGAATTATACATTTTCCAGCTGACAATTATTGAAGATTAGTATATAATACCTACATTTAAGAAGTAAACTATCTCAATCAAATATTACACAGTTTGTTTTATAATAACATAATAGTGATTTAAATGCAAAGGCATGAAATAATTACATAAGATTAGAAACATTTTTTTTTTCCTTTTTAGTTTAGTTTATTTCCAACTCTCATCTAACCATTTCTGAAATTTTAAGAAGCATACCATTTTTAAGAAGTAGGAACTCTATAAATAAAATTTAGTAAAATGTTAAATTTGAAATACAAAGCATAATTCAAATGATAAACAAGTTTATATATATATACAACTCGACGAATTTCACCTCATAATTTTTCTAATTTTATTTATTTAGTTTTTAATTTTTTTTTGTTACCAATAAAAATTAAAAATTTTTTTGTGAGATCTATTATATGTATAAATGATTACGTATGCATGAGATGCAGTTCAAAATTCATGATTAATTTGTTTTTTTTTATGATTGCAATATATATATATTTGTCACAATCAAAGAGTTAAATGTGTCAAAATAATATATGTGGTATAATGATAACCTAAAGGAAATGTAAATTACTAGACTGCAAAACAATATTAAAAAATGCTGAAATAATATTAAAACTATAATTTTAATGCAAAAGCATAACAAATGATATATTTGATGAAAAATAAACACTAACATATATCACTCATACATGGCACTAAATAGCTGACATCTGCACACATTTAACAAGAATCAAAACAAAATATTTAGACCAAGTTACACTTAACTCACAAAACTGAAGTAAATGCAGAATTAAAAATATCAGCATGTTTTAAAGGAATGAACTACTTGAAATTATAACAACCGCACATAAGAATATCAGAAATATGCACATTTATTGAATATGAGCTACACAAAATGGGAAAAGTATTTTCTTTAGTTAAAGCAATGTTAAAAAGGAAGCATCACTGATAAGCATAGCGAATCCTAGACCTGAGTCTTACTACTAAAGACTTTATTCAAGATAAGTTTCAGCAGCACTGTAAGTCTGAGAGAAATAAAAACCATAACAGTTTAACAAAATATCACAACCTAATTCCAAGAACTTCATTTTAATTGTGCTTAATTATTTGGGAAATCGGCTTGTGAATCATCCAACATCAAATTAAGAGATACCAACTATGTTTGTGTATTTTTAAATATACTAAAAATGGATTGCAGTGTAAATAAAATTTCAATAAACCCTTTTATATTTAATGGAAACAAAAAACTGATGTAACATTCATATTTTCTGTCAAAAATGATGTTTTACGCAAACTGGGTATTTCATTACATATTGAGAAACAATGAATGACAATAGGAGAAAGAATATCTTTTATGACAACTGAGGTCTATGTAATTCATCAATGAATCTCCCCTTTTTAAAATTAATAACTCCTATTACAATGATAGCTCAATAAAATAATTATAAATATCAGCATTAATTAAAAATATTTCTGAAATCCATAATCAATATTATTTTTAGAAGTTACAGAATAACTAAAATTTTACTTATTATGCTTCATATATCTCTATCTCAATATTTATTTCTTAAACTTATAAAAGTCTTTTATTAAGGAAACTGATAGCTTTAGAAAACAATACCATAATGTTATTATGATTCAAATAAGCTCAAATACAGTTTTGTAATTCAAATAATCTCACACATAATTTTGAGTTTAAGACATGCAAACAAAAAAATAAATGAAAAATTATGCACAAAAATATTTAAAAACTGTTCTGAATATATATTTGAGTTGTTAGTTGTTTGGTCATGTAAGGAATTGTTTAGTTTAAGAAAAGGGCTTATAATCGCAGTGTAGTTACTGATGCATGCATGAAACTGTGAAATGATTAAAAATATTACATTTTTTTTTTGCATATTAAAATGCATTTCCATTCTCATATGATAAATTTAAGAATCATCTGGGGCAACGTAAAAAACAGAGCACATCTGCAGACGATGAATGCTGCAAATTCATACACAAATTCCAGTTGCAATAAAAAATACTATAGTTTAAGTAATGGTATGGTATAAAAATAAGCAGTAATTCTGTTTAAACAATAAAACAGTGCAAATGAATAAATTTACTTCGAAAATAATAACAAAAACCACAGATACAAAGCACAGGGAAAATACACTAAATAATTCTGTCAGTTGATATCATGTAACCAGGGAGGAATAAGTCAAAATTTGGAAAAAACTTTTATAAAAGACCAAAATGAAATTACTAACCAATAATGTAATTTTTTTTTCAGCAAATAATACTGAAGTTTTGGTTTTAAAATAAAATAAGCCTCAAAGCTAAACAGCCTCAAATTCATGATCCTTTACTATCAGATAAAACTGATTACCATAACCCTTGTGATTAAGTTAACAAGTGTGTTTCACAAGGCTAAAACAACATGGCACACAGAATATTCAAATTTAATGCTCCTATATAAGCTGGTAACAGAAATCTATACACTTATATAATATGTTTGCATAAAAACTGAAAAGCTGATTTTTGAAACATAATAAACAAGCCTCCTGCCCTTAAGAGTAAAGGAAGAATTAATACATATGAGTATATTTTAGAAAATCATATTATAAATAGTTTTATGTGTCTGCAAAAACACTGAAAAGAAAATTCATACATTTAAAGAGTGATTAGTTTTACATAAGAGTGTATAATACATAAAATAACAAATAGTAGACACTGTATTCAGAGTAAATAAAGAAGAGGACAAACAAAGATGAAGAAGAAGAAAAAAAGTAAAGTAAATTTGAATGTTACATGCAAATTACACAAAATGAGCATTCAGGTATTTTGAATGGAAGAAGGAAAAGGGCAGTAATCACAAAAAAAACTTTTGCAAATATTACAAAATTAAATAATATATGCTATTTCTATTTACAAATGACAATGATTCAATGTTCAAAAGCCAGCTTTTCAAAATGCAGCATTAGCTCTTTAAAATGTTAAAATGAGCAAATTCAAAAGGAAAACAAAAAGCTATTAATTGGCAACATGTAGGCATAATTACTAAATAATCAGCAAAATGTGTTTTAAAACATCAAGAAAACACATTATGACAAAATTCGACAATCACAAACATTATATACCAGAATTAAGTTATACACGGAATGATTTTTTTCCTCTGGTATTATTTTTAGTAAAAAGCCTTTCCACAATATTTTTCTGCACAGCACTATACTGTAAATTAAAAAAAAAAGTCTCTAGTTAAAATTGGATGATATCAGTTCTCATAAGCATCTTTACATCTAAAAAAACCAATGCACAGCTAACAGTAGAGGCAACGTTCACAAATCTATCTATAAAATCACTTTTCAAAAAGTTTGCTTCATTCTTGCAGTAACCATCAACTTTTATTTATATGGCTTTTCATCACCATTTATCTAAAAAAAAAAAAAAAAAAAGTCACTTGTAGTGTTCACTTCTCGTCACCACAGCAATGACATTTGAAGTGACGCACAGGAACACCAAAGGAAGGATACGCAATGTCGTTGCAATGTGAGGTATATATTGCAATAAAGTGAGGTATTCTTTTTGTAATTAGTACAGTACAGCACTTTCCTACATAGTCGAGAACTGATTTGGCCGGAAGATTGACTCAGCTGCTGGCAGCCGTGAAAAATTACAAGGATGATGAAGAAGATTCACTGAAAGTCTCCCAATAGCAACAGGGTAACAACTGTAGCTCAATACACACTAACAAGTAGTGAATTTCTTTCATATTGCAAGAACTTACAATTAAGTACAAATCAACAATGCAGCAGTTACTCAATTATTTAAAAATAATCCTTTTGTTTAAAGTTCATAAAACAATTTGTTTTTGAAATGTTATATATTTTACATACGTAATAACAATCTTCCTTACACATCACAATAGCTATTAAGCAGATTAATATTCATGCTGATTAGCATGTTCTTGTCTCTATGTTTTACTAATTTTTCTTCATTAAATAATTTTTAGTAAATATTCTAATGCTTTATTACTTATCACACAGAATGGCTTTTCCTACTAATTTTTAATTCTAACCAACATGGTATCCTTTCTTCAAAATGAATAGTTGCACTAATCAATCGAACAAAGTTGAAATCACGGATAAAAGATTGAGAGACAGTTTTCAGAAATCTTCTTTTCACTAAGCACCCTTGAATTATGTTCTACGTCCTGATAACGTACAATGATTAAAGACTATATACTGCTTGGAGTTCTTCAAGACTAAATAAATTTTGCTTTTAAGGACACGTCGCAGCTTGAGGCTCAGAGTTTATAGAGGATGACAATGATAAGTCCTCAGCTTCTTCTATGTCTTCTTCTTGATCATCATCTACTGTATGATGATCATCATTTCCATCAGAATGATGCTCATCATCCTCCATTTGATGCTGAATTTCAGGTGCACCACACATGTGCGCAGGTTCATCTGATATAGGTTCTTGTTTGATGCGAATGTTCGAGCCATTTCTGAAATAACAAAAATTCTAATTATGCAACCATAATCTTAAAAGACTGATAATGAAACAGATTTATTTATGACAAATCATACATTTAGAATAATTTAGATAGTTATAGATTAAAATATTGAATTTTAATCTAAGACAGGGAAGAAGAAAGTTAAAAAATAACATGAATAATTTTTAGTGGACATTTTATATATCAGAAGTAAACGACATGCTCTACAAATAGTGCTAATGGAATTATTTTCATAAAAATTTCATAAAAAATGCTTCACTGTATTCTAACCCTACTGTTTCATTTCAAAATTCTTAAAAAACAAACAGGCATGTATAACTTAAAAATTCAGCTGAAAAATTTGAATATGCTTTTTGTCAGACATTACAGCATTAAAAAATTATTAATTATTTTAATTTTTTTTATTTTATAAAATTTATTGCAAAGACGGCTTTTTTTTTTGAAAGAAAAAAGGAAAATACATTGTGCAATATCAAAAAAATTAAAAATATTTAGAAGAAGTTTCTGTATAATTATATAAATAAAAAATAATTGATGTGAACACATTAAATTGCACAGCATATGCACATTTTTTGCAGCACTTTATTTAAATCTTGAATTATTCTAATTAATTGAACCCTCAAGGCAAGCTGAAAATGAAATCAAAAACTGATTATTTTGAATTTAAATATCTCACTTAATTTTTGTTGTATTGCAGTCAAACTTCTTGTATTTTTATATTTTCATAATGAGCATAAAACTTTCCCAAATATAAGTATAGGAACTTTGAGAGTGAATTAAAAGTTAGATTTCATTGTTTGTCCAAAATGAATTTTTTTTTAAATTTGACATTGCCAAAACATGAATATTTTCAGCATTTAAAACACTTCTCTGATTGGAAGTATATAACTAAGACCAACAAGTTCAAAAATAAAAATCGACTAAGGACTTTTCAGCCAGATAAGGTGTGTGTGTGTAAGATAAGGTATATATATATATATATATATACACTGCTGGCCATTAAAATTAAAATACCATGAAGGAAAGCAAATACAAAAAAGATATTTATTACATGTAAACAGTATAACATGAAGACAAAATGATTAAATCTGTAAGCATTTTGGAGGTTTACAGAAATGTGAAATTAGAAGAAACAGCTGCCATCCGACAGCTAAAACGGCTCTTACTCTATTAGGCATCGAGTCAAATTAGGTTTGGATGACAGAAATGGGCAACTCATTCCATGCTGCTTTAAGTCTATGCCACACTTCATCAACTGTATTAGATGGAAAGGGTGCGCGCCTAGTCTCTCACAACCAGACCATTGTTTTAATGATGACAGATTTGGAAACCATGCAGGGCAGGGCAGCAATTGAATAACTTGTGTATCGAAGAAGGTCAGAACATGATATGCAACATGTGGTCTTGCATTATCTTGTTGGAACATGGCACTTGGGTGCCTCGAAGATAGGGCACAACCACTGGATGTAAGATGTCAGAAATGTACCCATCTGTGTTCAAATTACCATCGATCTGAACTAGAGATGTATGTGTCTTGTACCCAATGGCTGCCCAAACCATCACACCAGGTGCAGGGTCCCTATGCCGATATCGAATGCAAGCAGGCAACGTGTGGTCTCCTCGGACATTCCAGACCTGTATATGGCCTGAATAGAATACTGCATGTAGAATAGGAACTTGTTTGAAAAGGTGACATTGTGCCATTTCTGTACCCAACTTTGTCACTTGGCACACCAGAGTTGTCATTTCTCTCTATGCTGCACTATCAAGGGCAGCCAAAGTAATGGTCCTCCGGCTGATAATCCATGCACCTTACGAGCTGATACTGGACATGCTGCAAATATGCCCATTTCCTGACTGATGGTCAGTGATGTGGTCGTACAGTTTTGCAGGGCTAATCTCAAAACATGTCTGTCCTCTCTAGTATTAATCACGGGAGGGTGTTGAGATCCTGCATGCCATTAAATATGACCCTCAGCAATCCATTGATTCCATAGTCACATGACAGTGGTTGGACGTTGACGTGTGCAACCGGCGATATCACAGAACAATAATCTACACTTTTGATAGGCAATGATCCTCCCTCAATCGAATTTCGAAACTTGCTGATAAACATTTTCTCTTCTTATTCGAGGCATAACAAAAAAATGAGCAAAATCCAACCTTACAAAGCACTTTCCAAATGAGAAATTAACTACACAATTTTTCTTTTATGCAGTGCTTCAGATGTTGTTTCTCCCTCCTGCATCGTCTAAATGCGCTGAAATACTCATTTGTATTGCCCAACTTCTTCCTTTCATGTGATTTTGACATTTATCAGATCACTCCTTCCTGATGCTGCAATTTTAATGGCAAGCAGTGTCTATACACAAAAAGTAAGAAATTTAGAACCTATTTTACACAAAGACCTAAAAAAGTGAAATTCAATACCAGTAAATTATAAAAACCTGAAAATATACAACAAAACCAGAAAAATAAATAAAGAGGAGGAATTCAATTAAATTTAATGTAATCAAGAAACGGATGCATCAGAACCCTTTCCACTGAAAATCAGATTTAATTGAATTCCTCTTCTTTATTTATTTTTCTGGTTTTGGTATATATTTTCAGCTTTTTATAATTTTTAAGTTTTAATTTCACATTTCTTTAATTTGTATGTTTATAGGATATTTTGAAATTTATTGGTATTGGATTTCATTTTTTGGGTCTTTGTGAAAAACAGGTTCTAAATTTCTTACTTTTTGTCTTTACTGATCAATTTTCAGCAGCATATTGTGCAAAAATACTTAACACTGCAGAAGTCAAAGCAGAATTAATACAAGTCTTCCCATTATTTAATTCAGTAGCATCTACAATAAAATTACACTACAGCAACTGAAAAAGCATACTTCTTTCATTAATTAGTTTTATAACATCTTCTTGTTACCCTGATATAGCTACTTTTTTTTTTTTACATCCGATTATCTGTATCATTACAGCTGATGTTGAAAATACAATAACTTTTAGCACTTTACACATAAATATAAATATATTTAATCTGTATTAAAACACATTTACAAAATTTAATTTTCCTGGAAAGTTTCTAGGAACTTTTAATGGCCTTGAATTTAAAATTGATAAAAACATGTACAACAGCACAAAAAAAAAAAAAAAAAAAAACAAAAAAAAAAAAAAAAAAAAAAAAAAAGAAAAAAAAAAAAAAAAAAAAAAAAAAAAAAAGAGAGAGCAACATACAGAAAATTACTTTTACCAAGCATATTATACAGGAAACTTGTACAGAAAATTACTGCTATTAGGATTTATCATGCAAAGCTATGGAGATCTGAAAACATACATATGATTATAGAACATAACATGAACATTGTCAAGATCATTTAAAATGGAAGAAAACTTTTATACACCTGGGATGGACTGTCAGTCAATGGCTATTAAAAAAAATCACTGACTAAAGTTTATTAAAATCCATTTTCAACACAGCTCAATAAGAACTTTTGGTACTTTCTTATTACCTGCATCTTTAATCTGCCAACTTTGTGAATTGACAAAAAACATTTGTTTAGCAATCTTTAGCACTCATGAATATATATATTTTTTCAGAAATAATAATAAAAAGAAGTATTTTTTTTTTACTCAAAAATAAAATCTGTACAGCCAATATTTATATTTTTACAGCCAGTGGAATATGATCAGCAAAATCAGCCATGCACTGTACAAATCAATTAATTCCACTTTTGAAATATCTTAAATTTAAGTGTCAAAGCACTTGGTTCAGTCACAGCTTTTTATATTTATAATACATTTCTCAAATAATAAAGACTAACACCAATGGACAACAAAAATTTATTGAAACTTGTTCAAAATATGGAAATAAGAACTGAGTTAATTCAAATCAAATTTTTGGTATGTGTACATAGCTGTTTGGCTAATTATTCAAATTTCGTGATTATTGAATCACACATGAAAAAAATTCAAAACATTTCTTCCATCAGATGATTGGTGCAATATAATCAAAACATGAAAAAGGTTGAAATGAATTAAGTGCCATTTAATGTAATCCAAATGATTCACCAAGGATTTTTTTTCTCAGTAAAACCTTTGGAAAATTCAGTCATTAACAGAAAAGTAACTATTACAAGGTTTCCAGTAAATTGTCTTAAAATGCACTGGATAAAGTTAGAAAGGCCCAAATCTCACCTCATATAATTCAAATGTAAATACAATGAAGATTCAGAATTTAATGCCATTAATATAAGTAAATCTGTAGTATGTAGACCACAAAGTTTGAGATATAACAACTACAAAATAAAGATTCAGAATTTAACATCATTAATATAAGTAAATCTGCAGCAGGTACACCACAGAGTTTGAAATATGTCTTTATTGCATCCCAAAGGTTGAACTGTGACAAGGAAAAAAAGGAGAGACATAATGTAGCTGCTAAAATTCATTCTTCCTGTTAAACATAATTACTATAAAAACTTAAGAGCAAATCAAAATGACAAAACTTCACATATAACTGATGAAGAAGACATCATTTATATTGCTACTGAATTACTCACAAACAATGTATAATAACAGCACTGATAATATTAATTATGAAAATTCTGTAGTAAAAAACTTAAAAATTTGAAAATTGAATTTAAATTTATTACTTTTTCAAATTGATTAAATTCCCCAGACACAAACATTACTGATGATTACTTCTTCACTAGTCTTTCTTAGTAATTTTATATACTGTTAGATGAAAGCTAAATCTGTATTTATGTATTCTACACCATTTATTTGAATTTATATTACAAAGGGAATTTTAGAAAACAATGTACAGTTGAATTGAGTTAATTGGACCACCGGATAATCGTACCAGCCGCTTTTTCGGACCAAATTCTAAAGAACCGAAACAAATCCTATGTACATAAGCCTAATATTATTCACTTATTTGGACCAAAATTCCATTTAATCAGACCAAAAATTTTAGAGCGAATAAGCAACAGAAGCCACAAGTCAGCCGTGTAAGAGCGGATGTACAGGTGGTCTGCGACATATGGAAGGATCTGTAGTTGCGGCTCCCCAGGAAAATGCTTTATCAAAGGTCCCAAATTCCTTAAAGTTCAAGACAAAAGCAAAACCAGTGGGAGGTGAACACGCACACCATTTTCTTTCAACTTTTCTTGACCTGCGCCTATGAGTTTCGAGAAAATGTACAATAGAGTATCCGGCTCCACCTGAAAGGAATTCCTGCCTATATCATGATTAAAGTTTACATGAGAAAGCTATCATTTCATCACCTTTTTGGGATGATTTTAGTGCCAAAGCTTTGAATGGCGAGCATTTTAGCTCCTTGACCTCAACATTCTTGAACCCAAAACACCAAGGTTTCTTCAGACCATTTTAGTCAAAGAACTGTGCACCTGTCTTGTCTCTCCTGCCAAAATGACATGACGGGACTTGATGTTATCTGAAAAAAAAATTGGTTTCCTGGATAAGAAACAATCACGAAACACTAGTCAGCGTCAGGTGGTGGAAATAAAGACTACAATTTTTCGCTTGATAAAACAAGAGAATGAGCTGCGAGAAGAATGTACACAATGTAAAGAACGAGCAGGAACTTCCAATAAACGGAAGCTTGAAGGCAAGGATCCAGATGTCGACGAGGCCCTTAATGAATAGTTTGCCATTGTTACTGGACGATCTGTGCAAGTAAGCGGGCCCAATGTTAAAATGCAAAGCAGAAGAACTTGCTAAAAAGCTGGGCCACGATGACTTTAAAGCTACGGATGGTTGGTTGTCTCAATGGAAATCTAGACATGACATAAAATTCAAGAAAGCACATGGCGAGAAAGGTGGTGTTTATTTAATTATGGCGACACACACTAGGGCTATCTGCCTAAGGGGAGGGATGCCTTTCATGGAGGACTTTCTAATGGAAACTGGCTTGTATACACGTTACACATGGGGAAAACCACGAAAACGCCCATGCAGCCAGCCCGCGCTGGATTCGAACCTTGGACCACATGGCAAGAAAGAAAGTGCTGATAGTGCAAATGCTGAAGAATGGAAATCAACAAAACTGCCCGAGCTTCTTGAAAATTTTTCAGCAGATGACATATAGAATGCTGATGAGACTGGGTTGTATTATCGTGTTACACCGGGCGGCTCGTTAAGTTACAAACATGTTGCACTCTGGTTCCAAAAAAGCAATGGATCCGTTCCTGACATGTTTGTGCTGCTCAAACATGTCAGGAACGGACAAGAGGAAGCTGTTGGTTATAGGAAAAAGCACTAAGCCTCGCTGCTTTAAAGGACTTAGGATGGAGAGTTTACCAGATGTGTATCGTGCGATCAGAAATGCGTGGATAACCTCTGAACTTTTTAAAGAACGGCTGAAGTACTGAGACAGAGAGCTACAATGCCAGACGAGAAAAGTGCTGCTTCTTCTTCACAATTGTGCAGCACATCCTCATTTAGATTGCTTGATGAACGTCCAACTGGAATCTCTACCTCCCAGGACCACAGCTTTGGTCCAGCCAACGGACATGGGCATCATAAAAAATTTGAAGACCCTTTATCATGCAAGGTTGGTTAATTACATCCTTGAAGCAATTGAAGAAAGTTTGCTAACCTCATCATCAAAAGCCAGCAAAGTCAATGCAAAGGACAACATGTTACAAGCAGTTACATTTGTGGCTGACAGCTGGTGAAAAGTGAACAGTGAGGCAATTCAGAACTGTTTTCTCACTAAGGCTTTAAGCACTTGGTTTTGGAGATGGATGTGGACATGCTCATTGAAAGTGAAAATGATGATTTACATGTGGAACTTCAACAGGTACAAAATTGCAAAGAATTTTTATCCATTGTCAATGAGCTTCAATGCTACGATGCAAATGAAGATTACAACGCTCCAATCGTTGCTCGATAACATCGGAAGACCAAAAAAGTGATGATGATGATGATGATGCTAATAAGTTGGTGCAAGTGACAACACAGCAAGCGAGGAAATGCATTGAAACTTTGCATCGATATTTCATGCAGGATGCAAATGAAGGCAGTCCCATTGCTGCGTTAGATGTTGGCGGCGAATTTGTTCATGTGCAATCCGTCAAGAGAATGCATAAGAAATTGGTTTCATTGTGCTTCACATGTTGAGTATCATGGAGATTATTTCTTAGAATTTGTTTTTAAATTAATTTTCTCAATGAAAAAAAGTTCGACTGTAATTCTTGTTTGTACATTGTGTACTTTAACATAATTATATTTAGTAAGTTTATTATATTTTAGTACATGATTTACATGTACATTTACTGTTTGCTACATATAGCACATCCCGTCTTTCAACATAGGACATGTTCGTGTAATCGGACCAGCCGGTTATTAGGACCAAAACGATCGCTTCCCGATGTGGTCCAATTAACTGGAATCGACTGTACATAATTCCATCACATTTTTCCTCTTTCTGGTTTATGGAGTTAAATGAATTTGTGCAGTGAAAGGCACAAATGCTGTTTAAATATGTAAATCCATGTGCATGGATTTCATATAAAGCAGTTCCGATGCTGCACTTTTTCCACCTGGTGCTAATTCTGCAGCTTCAAAATTCTTAAAATTTTGCGGCCTCTAAATTCTGTTGCCTGATGCAGCCGCAATTCAAATATAAATGCGAAATATAAATATACATGCACATTACATGAAATTAATGTTAAAAAGCAAAATACTTACAAAGAGGCATTGTTCATTGACATCATTTCTGCAACAAATCGGTCTGTTTCACTAAACCCAGAGGTACCACAGGACTGAGAAGTTACACAATCAGGTGTGGCAGCAGGCGTTGGCGTGGACGTAGGAGTGTTTGGCGCTGCTCCACTGCCGACAACTGACGCACTCAGGAAGGAGAGATTACTTTCCGCCAGGGCAGCCTAGATAATAAAAATTCTTATAAATGATATTCTACAATATATGGAGAAACACTACATAATTTCCAAAGTGATAATCTCAATAAAAACAAATAATGGATTATTTCACAATTCAGACTTATATATATATATAATAATTTAGAAGTTGTTGACATGGAAATGCATAAAGAAGGATTTGCAAGATTGGTCAGTTTTGATATTTCTTTACTCTCATTGCAAAATAATTTTAAGCCAACACAAATAAATTGATGTAGCTAGTGCTTGATCTTAAATGAATTTTTTAAATAAATGAATTTTTTATATTTTAGATGCTTCAGTAAGAAAAAAGGACATAGTAGTCTAGCTAGGCAGTGAAATAGACAGCAAATGTTATGTCTCTAAAATGAAATTTCCATTCAGAATGATTTAGTTTGGCTTAGCTTTTTTTTGATTGATTAAGTTTCAATATACAAATTAAAAATGTTATTTGATGAAATGTTATGTAAATACTTGCATCATTCGCATCATGCAAGAATGATATGACACAGATTAATTTTAAAATGACACAGTTTACAGTGATCTATTATATGCAGTTACTGTTTTGAACACAGAAAGGGTAAACAGCCAAATTAAAATGGACACAGGGGCTATTTCAAACTAAAATTAGAAATCTATCTTACCTATTTTTTATACTACTATATATCTCCAAATTCGAATACAAAATAATATATATTTGTACAATATATTATTCTACTCTAACCAGTCTACTCATTTAATGCCATCAAAGTAATCTATTAAAAATATGATAAATTCCAGTTTTTTACTAATACAATTGAAGAAAAATCTTTGGATAGCTATCTTTATCAAAATTGAATGATCATAGAGTATCATATTATTTAATAAGCAATTAAGATTATCATATTAATTTAGACTATCATATTAAATACTGCAAAAACAAATGAAAAAAATAAAAAGGGCTCAATAAATTTGTTATGAAATAACCAAAGTTTTAAAGTAATGAACAATTTCATGATCATGTTTAGTAATTTAGCATTTAACTATATACAGTGAATTCAATAATAAAATTAAAAACACAACTAATTATCTAAACCAAGGGCCGTTTAGGGGTTTATTGGTCACATGCCATTCATAAGCTTCTTTTCTGTGCAATTAATAAAGCTACAAAATTTAGAATTTTTAGTCTTAGCTTTTTGATGCAGAAACCTTTTCTGACCTTCTTCTCTAAACATGCAGTTAGTGATACATTTTTGAAAAAAAATAAGTGAAATAAAAGGATAAGATGGATTTTTTTTTGGGGGGGGGCAACTGATGCCATGAAAAAGACATCCTAAGAAATGCAATTTCAAAGAGTTTTGAAGTACGCACATGAACAAACATTTTTTCATTATTAACGCCGCAGTAAAATCATCACAAAAAACTGACTGATTAATGACCATCCTCAGGACATACTGAAATTTATCTTATTAACTTGTAATTACATTTTATTGATAAATACAAGATGTTCACAAATGTTTTTTCAGATTTCAACTTTTTAATAATCTCAGACAGCTCAAAGGGACTGCTTTGGTACACAGACCTTAATGAAAAAAAATTAGTTCTTTATTAAAGCTGGTATTCAGTGTTTGGCTGCATATGGAGCTGCTGCAATTGGATTAAACAAAACAGTGATTAAGCTGGAAAAATGTTTTGCATCTAAAGCTTTGTAAGATCAAATTCATTACTATTCAGTAGGTGACAGAAGATGGGGATACCTGATGTATATAACAAGGGTAAGACAAGTATTTATTCCATGTCTTCCATTGTTTAGAGATATGAATACCTCCTCCTGTGAGGCACCTAAAGATGCTCTATTGGGAGTATATTAACAACAGAATCAATATTGAGGCGGCAGAGAGATTATGCTCATATACAATAGTTTTTTTGTGTTTAAAAAGTAATGTCCAGTAATATATATATGACAATAAGAAACAAGAAAGTCAAAAGACACATGCAAATACTTTTCCAAGCAAGTATCAACTTGTGATGTGTTAAGAGCAATTGTTTACCACTAGCTATTCTTAGTAAGTAAAAATGCACAAACAGAAACAAAATGATATTTCATTTTTATTTCATGTTATTCCCAGTATCAGTGAAGTACTTGAAGATCCAGAAATAAGATGCAAGTGCTAAGGTTGATTGCACTATTAGAACCTGGTTACCATCACCGCTCACATCATCTAATCCTACAGCCAAAAAAGAGCTTATAACTTCTTATAATCATGTTTTTCCTTTTAAGAAAACAAGGAAAGTGAATGTTGTGAGTTCCCTGAAAATTCTCTGTGCCCAATGCAAAGCCTGACTTTATTGGTAATGTTTCCAATTTACATTTCACTATGTCTGGATATTAAATAGGATGATTCAGGTTATTTGTAGCACTCACAATGAATTTGAATTGAGTGAAATTTGCAACAAATGATTTGTATTAATTTTTTTTCTTTTCATATGCGCTTTGTAAATCATACTATGAAAATTGCTAAATAATAAATAACTCAAAAAATATGCTGACTTTCTGTACTTCACGACTAACTTTATGAAAGTGGTATTTTGAATTTATTATGCTTGTAATCTTCCCTGCATAAGTATTATGTCATTTTCAAAACTGATTTAAAAAGTAATTTCCCATCATTATAGTTTTATCCACAAAAACAATTTCCTTTATTATTTTTGGATGTATAGTAAGACATACTATGTAGCTCATGTGGCAATACTATGTGGTCAATCTTAAATTAACTAAGAATCTCTAATTTACTAATTTAATACAGAAATTTGTTATCTATAATTTATTCTATCATTGGAAACTTTTGCCATAATGTTTAGTCATGATGCCCAAACACGAAAAGAAAAAAAAAAGAACATGGTTTTTGTTTATTTCGCACCACGTTTTTTATACTGTAATACATTTTACTAATATTTTCATTGCCTATTAGCTGCAAATGATGAACACAGAGACTTAAATAAAAATCGCAAATGTAACAACATTCATCAATTTCACAAATAAATCATTTTATCGCTGGTTAGGAGTATTTAAGTACTCCAGTCTTAAGTATATTCAGAATGATTGTAATGCACATATAAACAGATAACAAACCTGAGTGAAAAAACAAGGGGAAATAGATCTTGAAATAATAAAAACAAAGTTACTTGATATTTTAAATATGCACTTAAATAAACTCTTTTCACTCAGAAACAATTATCGGATCATACAATGAAAATATTATCAAATATTTTTATGTAAAGTAAACCCATAAATTATTCATCAGATATTTTTATATAAAGAAAAAACATAATTTATTTTTCATAACTTGTTCCACAAATACACATAACTAAAGAATACTGATATTTTGTCCTGGTTTCAACTACTTACATGGGATTTCCTTGTCCCCCCTCCCTCTTTGAAAACGTTAATGCCAGCCAATCTTCCTTAGAAAATGTTCCATAAAAAGCAAAACCAGGCAAAGCTCAATTACACTGATACAACATTCAAGTATTATGCCATAATTATTCAAGTACCATAGTTTCCTGAATTGCCATTCTTTTCACACATGAAATACTATTTAATATTATAAAAAGGGAGGTCCTAATCATCCATTTATGTGAAATGAATATGCGCTTTATGTGCAATATTTTAAAGTTCACTGCATGCTGAAATATGATTTCACAACTATAAGAACATTTCCTTTAGTGCTGTGTATATAATATATGGTTAACCTTCTTTAAATTAACGAAAAATCATTCAAAGAACCACAACAAAGATGTTGATGAAATTAGTTAAAAACTATAAGTCATATTTCCAGTTTTACAATATATAACAGAAATATACCTAAGAAATATTTTCTATCAGAAATTTAGCACAAAAATTTATTTGTTAAATGATGCATTATTTCAACATGGAAATGGCCACACATGTGGTAAGAAGCAGAAACTAAACACAGCATCCCAGATTAGTGCAAAAAAAGGTTTTTAATGTCTAGACAGAACAAAGCTATTTAATATTCACCGATTTGAAAAGCTTCTTAAAAGTTTGGCTGAAGCGGACAGATTCAGATGCCAGCGTGGTAGTAATGGAGAAGTTTACGACAAGGTTGAGTTTGAAATTTGGAGAAGGCATAGACATTTGTAAATACATATACTGCCTCTGTGGAATTAGTTACACTTTTATGCCATGTCTGCTAAGATATGGCAGGCTTGGTCTAGGCATGGGAAATAAAGCATAGATGTTGATAAATGTTTACAGTATCTTTGTAACTTACTGCTACTGTCATTCTGAAAGTCTTGCTGAGGGGTTGGTGGCAGGAAGGGAGGAAAGGAGATCCTTCGATCTGTCACCCAGACTATTATCTATCAAAACCGAAACAAAGCTATGCAAACTAGTACTGCCATCTATAAAGGACTGTTCAGATGACGACATTACAGTCACAACTGGTATAAGCCAAACTTCTGTTGCTAGGCAATCACATCTTGCTATGTCGTAAAAAATGGTATAAGGACTGACCAATCACAACAAAACAAACATGAACTGATATTCTGTCAATAATTTCACAGTGTCAGCTGCAAAATCATGCACATCTTTACATTACATTTCATGTTGGCTATGCTTAGGCCCTGTTCTCCAAGTGCAAACAAAGCCAGTGACTTTTATGCCTTATGATTATGGCAATTTAGATAACTAAACTACTGTTTGAATGTTCCCTAAGGTGCTCAAAGCTTTTGAAATAACAGGATAATTCTTTTCCTTTTGGCCCTGATGAATGCATGGACCTGATCTAAATTATGTTCAGATCAGAAGGATTTATAATAATATACTGTGTTTTGTTATAATACAAATCTTACCCAATCCATGCATTTTTTATATTCAATAAATTCATCAACAAATTATCTAATCCAATCAATGTCGTAAACTGCTGCAGTTTAACTCACCAGGTAATAATGACCACTGCTGCTTTAAAGCAGTAACAGGTTCCTTTTCTGTATTGAGTTGTGACAGTGAAAACATGTTCAATTAGAAGATTTGGATCAATCCATATACCAAAAGGCCTGCTCTTGAAGCTATTGTTTCATTAGCAGAATAAAATTAAAATACAACAATACATTTTCTCCACATATCAGTATATATAAATGAAAGTTTTGATGTAATGCAAAAGTAATATAGACATCTAACTGTTACAGCATATCACACCACACATCATGAATGAAATAATTCAGCTGTGCACAATTAAATGATAAAGTCTGATGATATTATAGCTGTTGTCCCATCGTGTTCTAGATATATTCAACAAATGAAAAAGGCACTGAAAGAGTTGGCTATAGTATTTATTTGTGGCCATTTACATGCTACCATTCATGCTAGATGTGGACATCCATTTTTTTTTTTTTTTTTCTTTCTGGAACGATGTAAAATATTGTTATCGTAAGGTAAATGGACACCAAATCCCTAAACAGTAAATTAAAAAATACAACAAAAAATTTGCTCATATAAACATATAATTTGTTGCTGACTATAGTTTCACTGGAGCTCAGTGCAGCTTTATTATAACATTGTTGTTACTGGTAAACGTGAAGAAATTACGATCCTAATGGAACAGTTCAAATGCTTGCTTGGTGATGAAGATTAATACAAGTTTTTTTAACCCTTGAATAGGAAGGTACATCATTAGTGAGGCTGCACTGAAGGAAAATTTCAGAAGCTTCTAAAAAGATTCAAATTACAAGGCAAACTAGTTGAGTAATAATTTTAATCTTCAAAAATTGTACGTTGTTCATAACATAATAATTGAACTTCTGACTAATACTGTTATCAATTTTGTACACAGATAGATGATTTTAGGGCTATATATGAGATAGTTGTATTCTTACCTGTGCAATGAAACATGGAAAATCTTCCATAAGAGAGAAGCTATGCCTGAAGAGTACGAATACGGGGGGGGGGGATTCATTTAACAATGAGTAAATGGATATATTGGTAATTTGGTGAGAAATCAGCAAAAGTCATCAAACATGACGACCATATGGTGACATTTTGGTCTGGTTGTTGTATTATGAGTATGGTATATTAAGGTATATTATAGGTATTGTAATTGATCACTATATTAGCTGCAACCATAATTTGACTGTCATATTGCTTTCCAGTAATTTCAAGAAGCAGGAAGTAATAGAAATATCTTGGCAGCCGGTTGAAGCCGGTCGGAGAGAGAGCATCTGCTCTCAGCTGCCTAGTTATTGTTGTTGCAAACTGTTAGTTCAGTGTGAACTGAGATGTATCTGAGGTAGCTTTCTCTTTGGGTGTGCTTTGCATTGCAGTAGTTTGAAGTGTAACTACTCATTTGTACTCTGTGATACTGCAAACACCTGTACATGTATTTATGTAGAAAATTCCAGAATTTTGAAGTGTTTCTGTCGATAAAATAAATTTTATTAACCTATCATCAAACCTGTGTGCATTCAACCTAATACAAACCTGAATGCATGCAACAATACCAACAGACTGTGTCAGATTCTTTGCCTTATGATTTCTGATTAAGGTGTACTAGAATTTGATGGCATTCCATAAGACTTGGTGATATGTCTATGCAGTGGCATAAAAAATAAATAAAATGCATTTCAGTTGCTAAGAGGGCATCATACCCACCCATGATGTTTATGATGTTTAAGGTAAAAATGGTATTAATTGCTAAATAATATTGTCTGTCACTATTGAATACTTCAGTTCTCTCTGCTTAGATATCATTAAAGGAGGACATTTTTGTTTGTTTTTGTTCTTTGCGAGTCTAAGCAACAGTAATTGCAGTAAATAAATGTTTTGATTTCAGCTACTCGAGAAATTAAGATGATCATGATGACTCTCATATCACATTAATGCATTACTTTCTTTAATATCAATCCAAATTAAAAGTTAAATGCATTTAACACAAGAATAGACAGATAGATAATTACAAATATTATAATACAAACCTGCAAAGAAGCATTTAAAGAATCACCATACAATCCAGGACTTTGCCTTAAAGGCGGACTACCCATTCGCCCTTGACCATGCAATAGAGGTATACCTTGAGGAACAAGACCCTGTGCTGGCAATTGGAGACTGCTAAAATTGGGCATTATAAATTAGTAGAAATTTTAAGAACTAGCACTCCTTAAAACATGTATAAGTAATTTAAGAGCATCTTATCTCCAATTTAGGAATTTACAATAAATACAAAGTATAAATCATAAATTACTGATCAGAAAATTTCTGGTACATAATAATTACAAGTTATTGAGCTCAACCACAGCATGGTAGTTTAAGATGCAATTAATACTAGACCTACTGAATATACAAAATGTTAATGCTTACAAATACAGATAAAGGTATACAAAAATTAAATAAAGGTAGTTGTTGTCTTTCATTTATTGCATAATTCATCTGCTTATCTGCAGATTTCATTTACAGTTGATCTTTTTTCTAATTCTTTTACATTTTATGTTTTGTTATCATCTAATTAAAGGAAAAATTTAGCTATTGTAGGAAAGGACATTCTGTACTTAATTCGACATGCTCTCATTGGGAAATATCTATATTTAATTCAGATAAAATCCTTCAATATTCAATTAATTTGTACCATACATTCAGGAATCTACTCTCTGTACTAATATGAAATAATTTACATGCATTTATATCAAATTTTTAATTTAAATACCTTTAATTTCTGTACTTCCAACATCCAGAAATTTAAATTATTACATAAAATCTAAAAAAATAGTTAAGTTACAACTTTCTTAAAACATTCTCAGTTAGCAAGTAAACAGTCAATAATACAAGAAATATTTAAACTTATTTCATACATTATAAAACCACATTATCAATTATTTATTAATTGATCAATATCTGATTTACACATTATTATAACTTAATTAAAGAAAAAAGTTTCATAATATATAGAATTTAAACTGAAAAAACACACCAAATCATTATGAATAAATTAATTTACAGCTAAATCCATAGAATCAAAATTCGTTAATCCGGACTCGTCGGGACTTCGGCGATTCCGGATTATCGATTTTTCCGGATTATAGATCATCAGTTTAAATCTGGTAAGATGGCATGCAGAAATTACAAAAAATAAAAATATGAAACCGTAATTTATGAAATAAAGAACAATTATGATCTAAAGGGTATCAAAATTTACAAAAAGAAAAATCTTAATATTTATTTGTTTACTTTATTAAGCATTTCTTTCAATGTAAGTTGTTTAAGTTGCTTCGTTTCATGTGATAATAATTTCTCTTTAATTCTATTAAACAGACATAATTTTTTGTTTAGTTACAAAGTTCCGCTGTTCAAGTCCTATAATTGTTGTTTCGAGAATAACGATTAATTTGTCAATCGAAATTTTTTCATTTTCAATAACCTCTGTGTCACTTTCTTCACTATCGCAAGCGAATTATAATGACGAGGAACTTGATTTAAATCATAGACGGAGTACATCGAGATGAAATACTACATTTAGTAAGGAATTATACGCCAAATAAAATAAAAACATCTACCCTGAAGATAAGGATAGTGATGACAGATAAACTTCCAATTCATTGCGCGCCGTGGCGTTTCCCACACCTCCGCAGAGCAGCGTGAAATTGATAAACAGATTTCGGAATGGTTAGAGAAACAAAAGCGTGAAATTGATAAACAGATTTCGGATTTTGAAACATATTTCGCTTTGTAGATCCTTTACATATTAGTAAATATATATCGGAAATTCTATTTGACATAATCGAAAGTTCAAGCTTACTTTTATAAAATTGCTCTAACAGTCTGCAAAAAATAATAAGCCGGATCCAATTCGAAGATTAAGGAACAACGCAATCTGCAACATTAACTGAATTAGATAATTTTAGCTTAGCTTATACCTATCCATTATACATTCAACGCGCATGCGTAAACGTATTATGCACGTGCGCACACGCATATTCGCAGCTGTAAAGGTCTTACGCACACACGTAAACGCCTATGCGCATGCCTCAACGCGACGCATGCACAGAAAGTTTGTAGCTTTGAGGTCCGGATTATGGGTGTCCGAATTAACGACTTTTGACTGTAGTCACTAACTCTACTGAAATAAAAATGTACTACATGTCTAACTTTTAATATAATAATTAATTTATTAGGATGTATGCAAAAGTTCTACCTATTCTGTACATGCAAACTGGGATTATATGATTTACTTCATATATAACATTGCAATGACTACAGTGTTTTCATCAATAAATCATGAAGCATTTCAGCATATATAAAAAACACAGAATTTTTTAGAGTAACTAACTTATGCTTTTAAGCATTAAAGGAAAGTGGTAAAGAGTATAATAGATACTGTTAATTGTCCCAGTTTAATATAGGCATTGCTGCATGCTATAAGATTTATCAGGTGAAGATAGAAGATGCAAAACTCTGATACTGCAAAACTTCTGCAAAAATATCTGTGATTTCTGAACAAGTTCTAGATTAAGCTGTAACAAATACCTCATTTCTAATAGCCCAAGAATTAGCAGAAATGTTGTTGATACAGAGAATAATAATGGAAAGATGGACGTAGGCAGCTGGGTTCATCATGAACTTGCACTCAAGCTTTATATGAAGAAGGAAGAGAAATGAGGCAAACCTGTACGCCTTTTCTTACATGGTACAGAATTAGTTTTCAGAGTGCATTGCAATAAGAAATGTGTAATAATAATAAGAAATAAGAACATTGCTACATTAAGCATCAAAGAATTGTGTGTGAGTCACAAAGCATGTGGTGTCAATCTTAGAAAAGAAGAGTAAGTACATCCTTAAACTGTTTTGGAAAGTGTATGTATCAGGGCCATTCCTAGGCCATTGGCTGCCCACGTACTTTCCTAAAATTGCACAAACTTAAAAAAAAAACCCTCAATGATTAATAACATTTTTATTTCATATTCACTAAGTACTTACATATAACATGCAACTTACAAACTGTACAAAAAGTACTTACAATGAATTTAATGAATTAAAAATATTTAGGCGTGGTATCGCGAGAGTCCAGTTGCCCGATTTTGGCTGCTCACATACCTTTGCATGCTGCACCCCCGCTAGGAATGGCCCTGGTATGTGAAATGTCAAGGGAATAATCTTCTAGAAAGAGTTAGTACTTATAAAATAATTAATACTGACTTTTATTGCATACAGTTAGAGAAAAATGACATCTAGGTGGCCAATACTTGTCAGCTACTTTGATGTTAATTTTTATCCTGACAAGTTCATGTTTCATGCTGCTTTAATTAGTTAATAGAAATTGCTGAATTTTGGAAAGGGTGTGTTATTTCATTCTACATATTTCTCCACTGTATCCAACAATTATCACCTTTATAAATCATTACAGAATACTTTTGCTTTCCAAACTTTTCATTATGTAGAACATGTGAAAATGGCATTTAATTTTTTTTTATTTTTTTTATTCTACGATAGAAGGAACAGCTTTATTAAAGTGGAATAAACTTTAAATTGTATATATGGCAATTATATAAAACTTTATTTTACACAATTTCCATTTCTCATTTTTTGGGAGGAGGTGTAGGGAGAGGTATTTTTCTTCTTTCTGTTTGCCTTAAAACAGGTAGAACTTTTACAGATATCTAATACATAAATCAAATGAGTACTGACATACTAAATTAGCTGCATATTCAAGATATTGCTATATTAAATGCCACAGCATTACTATTACGCTTGCACTCACAGAAATTAGTTTTTTGTTAGAAGCCTTCTGTTTAATAATACTACTCTGAAAAATATTGTTATCGATAAAAGCATAATTTAAAATGCAAGCTGCTAAACTATCAGAAAACTGTAAATAATTTTTTGAGCTGTTAAACTGTGAGTTTATCTCCAATTATTTCCAACAAATTTCATTTCGAGCAGGATAAAATACTGATACATTTAAAACTACACTTTACTTTCAAGGAAACTAAAACATAAATTACTGAAGCTAATTTTGTGAAGTATATTGAAGTTTTATATACTATACATAATACAGAAATATAGCTATACAATTTTAAAAAGTGCTAATAATATAAATTAAATGTCAGGTAAGTTCAGTGCAGTTTGAATAAGATAAATAAATTTTATTACATAGCCTGATTTTTATAAATTGTCAAGGGTAAAACAAAGAGGAAACAGTAAAAGCTTATTAATAATGTTTTTTTTTTTTCTAGTATGTAGTAACTTAGTTTTTTTTTAATGAATACTCAAACTCTTACTAAAATAGAGAAATCACAGTTTTCATATTTTAAAAACTGAATTTTTGATATTATGAACTACTACTCAAGCAAAATAATATATACTTTCAATGCAATATTGTAGTAAAACCCCACTTAATTAAACTGGTTTCACTGAAACATTAAAGAAACAAACAACAACAAAAAAAAAAAAAAAAAAAAAAAAAAAAAAAAAAAAAAAAAAAGTTTTCATATTTTATACTACACCCAAAGGGACTTTTTTTAAAAATGTTTTGTCTGTTACCTTTATTTATTAAATATCATATTCTTTGCACTTGAACCATAAAATTCAATTCAATAGCAATATTACAAAATAATTTTAAAATGAGCATAATTTTAGAATTTCCGATACACAGTATCGTGCGCTGGAGACAAAATTTTTTTCCCCCACCATATAGTGTTGCCATTACTCTATTTGAAATCGCTGAATTTGTTAATCAAAAATTTGTTAAAGTGTTACAAAATATGAAATACAATTAGTCAATAAAGTCTGCGTACATCAAGAAAAGTAATATCAAATCCAAATTTTAAGGTGCAAAAAGGGTAGTTTCTTAAAGTTTTTTTAAAAAATATTTTGTTTCAATAAGGGACTTTGAAATTACTTAACTGTAATATTTTCATATCTAATAATTTATGCACACTAATTTTTAAAAGATAAGTGGCTAGAGGCTAGATATCAAAGCCAATAAAGTTTGCGTACAATGCGAAGGAGGCGGGGGATTTCTTATCTAACTTTTAAACTTCAAACTTGAGAATGCAAAGAAGGTTACACTTTCACAGACATTGACTTTCGAAGCAAATTTCATGTTGATTGGAAGTTGTTATTTCTATTTTCTTTGACGAAAATGACAACCAATAAAGAAATTCCTTTAGTTACGAGACAAATAATTATCAAATTGAGAGATGAAGGTAAAACTCTTCGTTATATTGGTAAAACCATTGGAAAACCATTTTCTAGTGTGCAAATAGTTATTCAAAACTATCTTGACACTGGTAGTCTTGCTGTAAGACCAAGATGTGGGAGACCGAAGAAGCTAACGCAGAGAGAAGAAAGAAAAATTCTTTTACGAATTAAACAAAATCCTAAACTTTCTGCAGCAAGCATTGCAAAAGACATTTTTTTAACTAGCAACCAGGAAATTTCTCCTGAAACTGTACGAAAACTGCTGTGAAAGGCCGATTATCATGGACGCAAACCTAGATCTAAGCCATACATTTCCGAGACAAATAGAAAGAAAAGAATTGCTTTTGCCAAAACATATTTAAACTCTTCTTGAACGATGTAATTTGGTCAGATGAAAGTAAATTTATAATATTTAAAGTTAATGGCCACCCTATAGTATGGAGAAAACCAGGAACAGAACTGAATCTGAGAAATTTAAATCCAACTGTCAAACATGGATGGTATGGGGGTGTATGTCGTCGAAAGGAGTTGGAAATTTTCACATTATTGATAAAGTCATGGATAAGTATGTTTATCTGGATATTCTGAAGAAAAATCTATGAGACAGTGCCCGAAATTTAAACCTTTCTAGTACCTTTATTTTCCAACAAGACAATGACCCGAAACATACAGCTAAAATTGTAAAGGAATATCTCCTCTATCACACTCCAAGACAGTTGTGTACTCCTCCACAGTCACCATACGTCAATCCAATCGAACATTTGTGGGCAAAATTGGAGAAACGAATTCGAAAACACAATATTACGTTGTGAAATGAACTAATTAGTAAATTGCAGGAAGAATGGGCGAAATTTATGTCGGATGACACTGAAAAACTAGTTCAGTCAATGCCCAAACATCTGCAAGGTGTTTTGAAGAATAAAGGGTAACCTACAAAGTACTGAAGTAATGTAAAAAACTTATATTTTGCTTTTTTTTTTAAAGTGTATGCAGACTTATTGGAGGGAATTTCTGAGTTTTTTTGGCAAAATATATTTTTGAAAAAATGTAAAAAGTATTACACTGATATTATTTACTTTTTATTTAAGCTTAGAATTTTAGCTAATAGAAGAAAAAAATGCAATGATTAAAATCCATTTTTCTTTAATTTAAAATTTAGTCTGAACGCAGACGTTTGTGTCTAACTGTAGATAATAAAACAAATTTCAAATTCCGAATTAGGGTTTCTAGACGCCCATATTTGGTGGAAGATTCCGTTTTTCAAAATTTGATGACTCTAGGTACTGTTGTTTTATCACAATGTGAGAAACATACATACATTTATGCAGATTCTTCATTATTTAGTTTCTTTAAATATAACAAAGGGCTATAATATTTTGGTGGCAACAATTTGAAAAGTGAACCAACATTTATAGTGAATCAATGAAAAATGTTAAAACTAAATTAATAGCCCTTCTAGGCTTTTGGTCTAATAAACAAACTTCTCAACAGTAGTACTTTTTTTTTAAACCTTAGATGATCAGTACATATTTTAAGGCAGACAACTAGTCTCAATGTATTGCATACAGAACAGTGATCTGTATTCATGAAGATCTCAAATACTTATGAATATTTTTTTTAAATGAAAACTTATCTAATTTCACAGATAAAGACGTTAGGACATTATGCTGCAAGCAAAATTGAAAAACTAAAAAAAGAGAATTCATTATTCAAATAATATAGTAAGTATATACCTGAATGATATAATGTACTGTAATATTCATTATCAATAAAATATAGTACGAGTATGTTTACTTAACAATGTTTTATTCAAACATACACAAATATTGTATTCTACTTTTAACAGTTGAAAATATTCATCATGGTTATTTAAGCATAAGTGGGGTTCTACTGTAGTCAGATTAATTTTCAAACATCTATATTACCATAGTTATAAAAAACACTATAACTTAAATATATATGATATACTACATTATAATTCTCAATTAAAATACGTACATAATGGATATAATGGCACAACTAATATTTCTACAAATGCAACTATATGATGTACTACGTGAAGCTCAATTGTTTCATACTACAGCATCTAATACTACAACTAATCTATTTACAAATCTATGGAGGAAAAAAATAATATTATCTATTATCAGCATGTAAAAGTTCTTACTGTAAGCATCATGATATAGGGAAAAGCCTATGGAAGACTGGCCTAGTCTCAAATAAAAAGAAAAACTGCTGAGTAATGCATACAAGTAACTATAATGACTTTACTAACTACTGTGCCTACCAGCTGAATAAGATATTGCTAATAAATTAAAACTCATTTTTTTAAATATAAATATCACAACTACTTACAGACAATATTTATTGAAATATATAATTTATACATTATATAGACTTTCAAGGAATAATATAAAGAATACAAGGATGAATACTATACTTTTTAAGTGTTTCAGTTGGATTTGGAAAGTAATTTGATTTTCTGGGGGGGGGGAAGGACTATAGTAATTAAATTTTGCCACACAGCACAGATTTCACAGTTTGACTTATTATGCTACATCTGATATGTGTAGAACAGACGATTACGCATGAAGAACTAGAAAAATTAAAAAACATGAAGAACTAGAAAAAATAATAAAAAAGACCTTATTAATTTGTTTATTTCATATTTATGAATCAGCCACTTTAGAGGAAAGAAACATTAAAATATCGCATAAAGTATCAGTTCCAAAAAATATTTTGACAAAATTTATTTTGTTTTACTTCCTTTTATTCATTTTTGATGTTTTCCAAAAATCCCTTCCCCCTTTTTCTTAAAAGAAAAAGGTTTCCTGCAGAAATTTAAGAATATACAATAATAAGCTGGGTGTTGTTTCTTAAACAATCAAAGTTCTTGCTAAAACATTTGTGTTTTATCAATTAATGCTGAAAGGATAACCAAAGGATAATAAAATACTTGACTGTTTTAGGAAAGATTTAGATTATTTAATTTTATTTTTGATACCATATTATTACAACAGCCAAAACAGAACCTTTCAAAGCAACTTATTAAATTGCCTTAATAAATTTTTAGCTTTTTATAGCTTACATATACCAGGTGAAGCACAAGAGTTATATTAAGATATTAAATACTATCTCAAAGCTCTGTAACTACAAGCAAATGGTCTAATTATAATAGATAAAACTGCTAATCCAACTAAAACACTGCTGTAAAGAACAAATTTTAGTTAATGCATAACAAATACTGCTTACATTCTTTTATTTCATGTGCACCAGAGGCTAAAAGGGGAAGAATATCTACCGTTAAGAGAGAAAGGGCAAAGAAGAGGATACAGCATTTTGCTATGGATGACGAAGTAGCGTTACAGGCAAGCATGCAAACACATTTCAGCCATGCAGAGGCACTGAGGACATGGTTAGCAAAATACATCATGTCAAAAGAAATTAAGTAGGAAAGTAATAAAACGAACAGCAGGCTTACTGTGAGGAGGGAATGTCAGAATCGGGGTATTTTCGGGGTCGCCCGCGACTCAGGTGGCGTCGCCTCACAAACTCCTGGTCATCCACTCGCCACCATGACCCAAAGTCGTCCTCATAGCGAACAAAGCATTTATGGAGAGACAGATTGGTGCGTATTGCATTCTGTGCAGAAAAGGGATTGGACGAGGGTGCGGGAAAGGAGAAAGATCAGCAGGAATGGGAAACAAAAGGAAATGAAAATACAAAGAGGAAAGTGCAAACATTGAGAAAAAGAGCAACAAAAGCAGATATATTTAAACATACATTCCAATAAAAATAAAATAAAAAAGCATATTCAGGTGATGCACCACATTAAGCATACACAGACATTCAATAGAATAGTAAATGCAGCAAAAACAAATATTTAAACAAAAGTAAGCAGGTCAGAAAACAGATGGGATATTATGTTTGCATCACCACATGGGAAAAGAGGATTTTCAGAAGGGTTTAGGGTAGGAACAGGAGAGGAAAAGAGAGAGAAAAGAAAAAAAGTGAGTAAGTACAATGTTCAATGAATGACGTACAACATCTAAAACATACCCTGACATGCGTTCCTGAAGCCGCTGAGGACGGCGTTTGTAGAATTCAAGTTCGTCCACTGTCCACACAGCCCCTTTAACATTCTCAACCCGCATAAAACATTTGTGAAGACTTAGGTTGTGTCGTACTGCATTCTAAATAATTAAGAGTAGTGTTTCAACAATGTAGTAATGACAGTTATGCAATTATAAAAGCTGCTACAACTTGGGATCGGAACCCCTACGACTTGCTCTTTTGCAAACCAACTTGATAATTATTTTTAGACAATTTGATTATTAATTTTAAACAATGTTATTGATATTCATCTGCACTACTTTTGATTTAAAATGTGCTTCCATTTAACATGTGAGGAACAGTAGGTAAAGATTTTGCTTTGCGATGATGTTTTGATTACAAGAAAATTAAATTATGTCTTCTATAATTTATTGGTATTAAAACTTTAAAGTAAACGTTTTAAATGTTTGAATGAAATATTCATGCACTTTTATAAATTCATAATCAGAAGGCATTTTAATTAGAATCTCAATCTATCATTTCACGAGTTTATAACAGTTACAATAACCATATATTACATAAACTTTAAGATTCTTTTTAAAGCATTTTGCTGCCACAAATTTTTTTTAATTAACATTAAATACTTTAAAACCACTCAATTAAGCTAACTTTTTCTTACGTAAACAATTTTTACTAAAATATTAATTTTTTTTTTTTTTTTACTTAACATAAAGGCATTTTTGATGCTTGTCACAACTATGTTCCAAATAATAGATTTTCAGAAAAAAAATTCATGGGATTTTTTTTTTTTTTTTTTAGGTTTACTTATAATTTAATTGAACATCTCATAATATAACCTCACACTTTTCTCCATGAGAAAATACAAGAACTTCAAATGTTTTGTATATTTTTATATGTATATGCTAGTTAAAATAAACTAATAATTTTTCTATATCAAGCTTTTTTGCTTTTCAGAATAAAAAGGCACAAATTTTCCAGAAGCTTTTTACAATAAATTTATAAATTCTGATTTTAAAATCAATTCAAATGAGAATAAGAAAGTGAAAAAAATTGATTAAATACAAAAACATTTGCTTTTGATAAATTATGTCTCAGTAATATACTTCTTCACAAGTAAAGCTTATTTAAAGTTATGTAAAATATTAGCAAAACATTTAGTTAGCATTTATTATACAAAATATTTAGTCAGTATTATTATACAAAACATTTGATTACTCTAGAATGCCAATTCACAAACAGCATTTCTTAAATAATTACACATTTCTCAATTATAAAATTATTAATATACGCATGCAATTGCAAAATATGAAAGCATATATTGCAGGAAATTGAGCAAAAATTAGCACAGTGCTTTCAGTTTTCAGTTGTAAATGAAATGTTAGCTTTTTTAGCAATATTCTTAAAAAGAATTATTTTTAACAATAATTTATTTACTCCTACACACGAAGAAATATGAAAAGATATTTTGCTTTGCTGCATTTCAGTGCACTGCATTTTGTACTACTGTGAATTCTCAAAATTGAAAGTTTGTGGCTATTTGCACTGGGGCAACAGATAACTGATTGCACATTTGTTTGCTTTCACTATCACTTCCTGCTAATCCTCACAATATTTCATACTTTTTTACTTGCTATTGAAATTAGGTTAAATAATAACAAATGTAGAAAGTCTCATTTGTACGAAGTGTTCTATGAATATGCTGAACGTCTAAATGATTGTTATTTGAACATACCGTTAAAATTGCCCAGCCTATGACGTTTTCAAAATATTACACACCTAAGTAGGTGAAAAACTAGGCCTCTTGTATCAAGACCAGGACCATCTTGACTGCAGTGAATGCAGAAAATGTAACATGATGCATATTGCTCAATATATCTCAGTATCCATCATGCAAGCATACTTTTATGTGCACCAGGGAAACAAAACATTTATGACTCATTTTATTAACAATTCACATTAGTACAATAGACTTGCACTAAACTATGCCTGTATCAATATATTCTTCTGGAGTTAGATTATTATGTCACTTAATACATTAAATACAAAAAAAGATAAATTTAGTGAAAGAACAGCATTTCAAGAAAGGTTCAACTACAAGCACACCCAGATCAGAATACAATGAATTTTTTGGAGATGCTATTGACAGCTTTCTTGAAAATGAAGTAATGCATTCCATACAATGAAAACTGCTTAATGTCTTTGTAAGGCTCCTATATTAACTAGAAGCTAGAAATAAAGTCCTACAGACCCTACTACACAGCGAATTATCACTATGTCTTAAATACTCATATGGCATTGAAGGTTTAAAATAACCTTTTTATTTTAATCATAAATTGAACATAAAGATGCAACTTGCACTCACAGAAGAAACTGCTACTTATGGCTATTTAACTTAAAAATAACAAGCAATTAAATTCAGACATTGATTATACAGACTAAACATGCAACAGAATAAGCTGACTCAAGATGTATTTTACCAGCATGTAATTTAATTTATTGGTTAGAGGAATGTTAAAGCTGGAATATCACCTTTAATCACAGCTGGTGAGGGATACAAATAGTGAGATGCAACTGATAGATGCTCTCTCAAATAAAGATTCAAAACCCTCAGATTAAATATATTCAAAGCTAATTTGCATTCTTGTGAGGAATATGGAAGGGAGAAGATAGACCAAAATTATAATAACCAGCTAATTAACATAAGATACTCTACATCCTAAAAATAATTTCAACTTCTAATTTCCATTTCATATAAAAAATGAAAGAATATTTTTATCTCTTTTGAAAACCTGATTAATTCCAAAAGTAAGGCAGTAAAACTAATTAAAGTGTAATAGTAGCGTGAAAAAATTTTTTCAGCCTTTCATGATTTGATATGCATGTTCAATGAAATAAGACCTAAAAATATTAATTTTATACAATCTTTGGTTCCACTGAAGACTGCATAAGATGAAACAGACAGTTCCATGAACAATATGGGAATTAAAAGAATTAATGAAAAGAAAATAAGGAACCATTTTAGATTGAAGAGGAGTTTAAGTACCATTTGCAAGAACTCGTCATTTACACATTTAATGTTTTGCTTTGTTTTTATTTTATTTTTACTAGGCAAGATAAGTTCTGCTGAAACTATTCATCATGCTGTTCTTTGATAAACTCATACACCTCTTTATAATAGATAAATTGAAATAGAGCCCCATTAAGAATTTTTATCGCAAACAATTAAGAAATTCCAAATTTTGTTTGAACGAGGATGTCCTTTTGGACTTTGGATTACTGTCAATTTTATATCTTTCATATCCAGAGAATTATTAATGTTAGAATCCCAAATAAATGTTTTTAAGCATATCATTTGAAAACTGATAGATTGAGATTTCACTGCACACATATAGAATAAATACATTATATTTAAATACATACATGTAAAACAAAACAACACTACTTTGAAGGGAAAAAAAAACATCAAATTCTATATCTGAATAAGTGAAATAATTTTTTTTTCAATCTAAACTATTATTTCATCTACTTAGTAAAAATCATAAAAAACTCACTAAGCAAACAAACATAAAACACAATATCTACAATCTAATACACAATGACATCAGTTATAAATTAGATACTTACATCAAGCCTATCTTGTGTACCATTAACATCAAAAAAAGTTGTCACTGTGTCCATAACTACATTTATTTAATTTAATTTTTTTGGTGAATTTTTAAATTGAAAATAAATTACATCTGCAGTTTTATCATTGAGTGTGTCACTTGCCAATAAGAAAAATAATTATTAAGACAGATTTCAGTTAAGAGAGCAAAGTTAGGAAAGAAGAAAATTTATTTCAATTTAAAGAAAAAAAGAAACAGCAATGAAAATAATTTTGAAAAATTTTTCTGCTTCAGTTAGTCATAATGTAATATTTTTTTTTAATTTTTTCAAAAAGAAAAACATCTGATGTTTAACATTTTAAAAGCTTTCATGGCATAAATGCAGCTTCTCCTATTTAAAAATGAAATAAAAGTAATAAGTTTAATGGTTCCAGCTATTAAAACATAAATAATTTATTACCCATAACTATAATTTTAAGATTTAAAAAATATAATTATTACTTTTAATGAGAAAGACACAAATTCCAAACTAGATTTAAAAATCTCATTCTAAAGTATAGCTGAATTTGAGAGGGAGGAAGGAGTTATATTTATTAAGAATAGCATGTTGAAAATTTTGGAGAAAATAGCAACTTAAAATATTTGTCTTAATTTTTTTATAAATATTATTAACAAATGCTGCTATATAATTTACAGAGTAAATTTTCTTAATGTTATATTCTATGGCCTTTTATTAAACAAAATATGAATGCTAAACTTTCGTGTTTGAATAAATTCTTTGATGGAGGTACCCGATGCTAATTAAATGTAAGATTTTTGTTACAAAAATTTTTCTCAAATATCTTAATTATATATATACAGAAATACAATAAAAATAAAGAATGTGCATTAAACTTTATTTAAAAGATTATATAAGATTCATATGAAAAAATATATGCATACTATTTTTTAAATATTAGTTAAAATATGATTTAGCAAATAAAATAAAGCTTTTCAAGTAGAAATACAGAAGGCCCAGCAAAATCATTTCATAAAGTAAATCAAATTATTTATAAACTCTACAACGGAAAAAATAATTCTTCAAAAATTAATCCAAATAACAGTAAAATTAATATTAAGAATTGTCTGAAAAAAGTAAGCTCCACAACTTAAAAATACATCCTATCAAAGAAAATCAAAATTATTTCGGTATAGGAAAAGATATACTGAGAACTCAAAGACCAGAAAGCCTTTAAAAGTATTCAAATTTATCAATATGACTGATTTATTTTATAGTAATTTGTTTTAAAAATAAATGTTATCTTGTAATTATGAAGACAGTTTGACTAACAAACAGCAAGGGATAAAAAAATCACAGGCAAAGTACCTTGAAGGAAGAGTTCCGGAATTTTCCCTGAAAAGAACAATTACTTTATGCAGAAAAGTTACTAACAAGGCCTGCATCAAGTACAAAGAGATCGTAAAGAGAGAAAAATTTTAGAAAGTAACCCACTCAATGCAATAAACATGCAGAAGAAAATTAATTTAACACATTTTACCTAAACTGATACAATATTTAATACGAATACAGAAAAACAGCACTTACTGTTACTTAAATGACCCAATATTACAGAACATGGAAAGGTTACATTAGAATATTCAGAAAACAAACTTGAACTTAAATTAATGTCATATTCACAAAGAAACAAAATACGCATAAGTTTTCCACTGTGGTAAATAACTAAGATTATATCAATTATTTTAATTCTGAAAAATACAGCTTTCATGCTATAGTTAGAAAATTTAACTATGATATAGAAAAAATTCTAAATTATTTTATTATGCATTTCCTCAATTTAAAAATGTAGGCACATATACAGTAGAGAGGGAATCCAGCCAAATATTACCATTGTACTACACTGCTTTGTTAGCAACTCATGTAAGATAAAAAATATTCATCGTAAATCATGTGAAATGAAATCGCTTACGTTAAATCAAATACAGCAATTTGGAAATAATTAACAAATTAATATTCTTGTCAAATATAAATTAAAATATTATAAGAAATTGTTCATTAATATTAGATTGTCCAAAAATGACTTTAACTAACAATAAATTTGCAACACATTTCAACTCAACAACTAAACATTGACATTTCAATTCAACAACTAAATAAAAGTATATCACACTTATTCAATAAAACATGAAATTTTATTCTTTAATACTTAATAAGAGAAACATTCACAAGGAGTACCAAATATGCAATACTATTAAAAGTTTTCAGCAAAACCTTCCCCTCCCTCCCTATCATTATGGCAAAATATTACCAATTCACATGGCTTGTTATTATTTTTTAACGCATAACATATATATGAAGTATTATTCACAAATTTTTTTAATGAAATAATGTGAACAATTACAGTATTTGATAATAAAATTGAATATTTATTGAACAAAATAAATATCACAAAAATTCCCTCTATACAGCATTCAGTACCAAAATTAGAAACTGAAAAAATTCAAAAATACAGTGAACCCTCTCATCATAAACCAGTTCCTTAAGATGACTACCTCTAAAAGTGACCAGAATTTCACAGAATGTACATAAATAATGGTGATGAACATCACTTCCCTACAACAGTAATTTTGACAAAAAGACCAAAATCATATGGAACTGTGAATGGTTGGAGTAAAAAGGATTCACTGTATTTAATGTAAACAAGTATGCAACTTTCTTTGACACTATAATATAATAAAGAAGATGCAGAAAGTGGGATATTATATACCTTCCATGTCGCAGCATTT